TCGAGCAAGAGAGACAGATAAGAAGCCACTGGTTTGCTTGTGGCTTGGAGCTGATGTTTGAAATGGACAGCACACAACATACGCTGAAGAACATTACATCTCTTCCTAGAAAGGCTAAAAACATTCCCCGAACACTGTAGATTCCAGCCCAGGTGTTTCTGGTAGCATCCTGCAGCTGGCCATGGACCTGATTTGCTCAACTGAACTCTCTCAGACATTCACCAATAAGGACTTTTGTGGTAGCACTTTTCATCAGGATTTAATGCTGCTATAACTAAGTCCTGTAAAATTTCAGGGTTTCTTAGAAACAGAACTTTAGAATGACAAACTCTTCAATAAAAGGGGAAGATGGATACAGGAATCTTAACTGTGAGTATTGACCAATGAGCCCTGATGAGCTTAGCTCTATGCCTCTGGTGAATCATTTAGTCGTGCCACTTTCTAAAAAAATAAACCACTAATAACGCGTACCAAAAGCAATGCTAAAATGAACAACATCAGGAAGACAAATTTAGCACCCACTGGGCTAGGCTCCCCATCCCACATACGCTTGGATAATTGGACAATCATGGACTGCGAGATCCGTGCAACAGCCTAATTCTCACTAGATGTTTTCTGTTTAGAATTTAATATGTGAGAGGCTCTAAGGTAGGATTTATTCCCTCTCCCCAAGAATATTTCATTTTAACACTGAAGTACCAAAGGGGTGGCTTGATCCTCCAGAGTGAAAAGTGAAAAGCTTTGTAAGTTCCTTCAAGGCATTTCATGTCATTGTTTTCTCTCCTGAGAGAGATTAGGGTAATGGTCATGTCAGCGACCACATCACCTGGCCTCAATCTCTGCTGAGCAGGAAGTGCGTCCAAACTGACATCATTTTCAAGACAGTCCACAAGGCGACCAACGCAGGATATGAGGAAGAATATGAGCAGGAACTCCCTAAGGCGTCGTGTGCTCTACGACTCTCGACTTTCCCTGGGAGCGTCTGAGAGATGACTTCAAAGCCTAAGAGAACACTTGTCACCACATCGAGACCATGGTGAAGATTAAGTTCTCAAAGGAAGTCCATACAGGAAGTCTGAGAATTCAGTACCGGTTAGCTAAGATTTCCTCTGCAATAGAATGCTCTAAATGTTTGTGCAAGTATGTAAGCACATGTGCGCAAACACACAAAAACACAGAACATGAAACATTCAGGAAAAGAGTAGAAAGTAAAGAAACATACAAGTTGAGTTTAAATGTTCGTCTCAAAAACAAAGAAAACTTTGAAACAGAAATTAAACCCCTCTTGAAGGTGCCTCTCCCTCCCTCCCTCCCTCTCTCACACACATGCACACAATAACTGTGCTTTAGTTAAAGAGAGGGAGAGAGAGAGAAAGAAATATGGAAGAGACCTCTGAGATAATTAAATGCAAGCTCCACACAATGAAGAGGAAACTGAGGTCAGAAAGGTGTTCAGCCATATGAGCATGTGCAGCCAGTAACCGAGCCAGCATCCTCCTCTCTTTCCTCTCTAGATAAACTCATCAGTATTTGCCAAATAAATCCCTGAATGATCCTTTCCACTTCCTAGAATCAGGGCTAGCGTGAAATCTGAGAGATCACTCCTTTCATTCCCCTTACATTAAGAAGAATTACGTTTCGCAAACATAAAAGAAACTCACTTTCCTTGTGTGTTTTAAGGTCTACAAAGGAGATGAGTTCTCAATTGCTTTGCTATGGCCTGCCTTTATTGATTCAAAACAACATTAGAGTACTTAGAATGAGTCTCCCTCTGTCATGTGACATGGAAAACACATTAACTCGGTATGGATCATGCTCTTGTGGTGCCCAATGACCAGTAGGAAAGTATGTACCACAGTCATTACAATGCCAGGCAGGATTTTATCATTATTCCCAGCTGGGGGATGAATAAAATGACTTTTAGGCAACTCCAAGATTGGATAAAGGTACATGGAGAAAACAGCTCCAAGTTAGGAACTAGGTGAAGAACTGGGCATAGGAGCTCTAGTGTAAGGAAAAGGCCACTTTCTTCACCCTGTAATCCGTATGGAATCGATCATGAACCCATTATGTAAATTTTGCTTTCTGATAGGGGTGCATGTGTATACACATGAGAGAGAGAAAGGGAGGGAGGGCAAGCCTCCCACCAACAAAATCTTCTCACTGCACAATCCCCTTTCCCCCAGCCTTCAGCACCTCGGGATCCTGGGCACACACACACACGCACACATCAAGCTGACCTGGAGACGTGAACCCGCAGCTGGACATGTGGCTTCCAGCCTTGCAGAGCACTGGCATTACCACTGCAAATCTGAAGAATACGTATTTTCTTTTTTTTTTTTTTAAGAGACATTTTTACTATAGAGCACATGCACTTGCCAGAAAGACAGAAAGAAAGAAATCACCCCCTGAGGGGGTGGCCACTTCACAATCCTTTCTCCTCCATTCTCCTCTTGGGATCTTGGGCACACTCACACATGTGAATTTGAAGCCAGGTCTGGGACTCAAACCACAGTTGACTGTGGGAAGCCAACAACGTAACCATTATGCCATCTGCTGGTCTCCCAAAATATTTTCTATCTTTAAGGTCTTACTCTTCATTTGGGAGTGACAGTTAAGTCTACAATGCTCATTGTATGACAGTGTGAGAAATGGTATGGTGAAAACACAAGATTTATGAGTAACAGTACAGGGTGTCTTAGAGGAAGAAACTATGGAGATCAATAGTGGTTCCCAGGTGGACACAGGGATATGTGTATTCAGGTAATAATGAAAGAATGTTAAGAACATTTGAAGGTGTAAGAAGAATAAACTATCTGGAAGGAATGTAGCACAAAGTAAGAAGCATAGTGGAAACAGGGCTAAAGAACAGCCTGGATTGGGACCAGCAGTTAGCGTGATGGCTATGTCGCTGGACTCCCACATAGTTGACCGCGGTTCAATTCCCGGACCCGGTGGCTTAAACTCATGCCGGGCGCGTGTGCGTGTGCGCCCAACATCCCGAGAGGAGAATGGAGAAGGGACTGAGGCGTGGCCATTCCCTCGTGGGGGGGGGGTGATTTCTCGCTTTCTATCTCTCTGTATGTCTGGCGAGTGCATGCGTCCTATAGCAAAAATCTCTCCAACAACAAAAAAAAAGAACAGCCTGGATTCAGGAAAGAAAGGGTCACAGCATCAGGGATGCTAACTACATTTTAAACCTAAGTCATAGGAAACTATTAAATCACTATGATATCCGAAAATGATGTTTCAGAACTTATCTGGCAGCAGCATGCAGAAAAGATTGGAAAAAGGAAAGACAAAGAGGAAGTAACTACAACCCACTTTCCTCCAGAATGTAGAAAAGTAGCAGAGCGGGCCCAAACTGGCCCAGTACAGATGGGAATACCACGGGGACAGAACTGGTCGATGGTACAAACCAAAAACGGGAACACACAGATGCCGGACTCCTCCCACTTTAGGATGGATTAACTACAACTGAGAACAAGGGAGGAAAAGCAGGTAGATACAGCAGGAAATCCAGCAGTGGGAAAATTTTAAAGCAGTTAAAAAGTGCAGAATCAGTGGAGAGAGACAACAGGGAGCGTGTACAGGCAATTACCACGAACACAAGAGGAAGACAGGTTTGGGCACTGTGGACAGTGGCAGGCAGTGATAAGCCCTCTGGTGACAGCGATCCAGGATGTCTCTCAGTAACGCAGCATCAGGAGAGGATGGAGCAGAAGCCAAATTACAAGTCATGAACTACTGGGATGTGAAAGCAGATACCCTTTGGAACCTTGGAGAAATCTGACAGGATGGCAGTGGGGAGAGAGGCTGGACATTTGAGAAGAGCTGTGCAAATTCCCTTTTTTTATTTTTTATTTTTGATAGAGAAAACTTGAAAAGGGTTGTAGGTTAGGAAAAAATTCAGAAGAGAGAGAGAGAGGCCTTAATAATCTTTATTGGCAGGAGGCTCATATTTCTAACTTAAATCTATAGCTCAAATCATTTTCTCTTTGTTTTCAAACATCAAGGACTTCAATTTGCCATCCTCCAGATGGCAAAGACCTTCACATGTGTGGAGTCCATTATTAAATCATACCTCAACCTTTACTTCTGGGTAAAAATACCAATCCATTAGTCCTTTCTTGTGAGTTTTACTTTCCAAACTTTTAATCATCTCAGGGCTTTTCCTTGGTGCCCTTCTCCACAATCTGCAGAGTCTTCAGAAAAAAAAAAAAAAAATCCACAAGAGGGTCCAACAATTTAATAAAGGCTAAGTGTAAATGGAGTTTTTAAGAAAGTAGTTATGTGATGATCCTTCTACACCAGTGAACTCATTTGCAAACTCATTTCATTTGTTTTCAAAACAGAGGAACCATTTCTTCTAATTAAATCATCTTTAAGATAAAATGAGCTGTTCTTATTCAAGTGAGCATGAACAAAATGAGTCCTAACCACAGGGCATGTTCCCTCTTCACTGTGCAGAGGCGGATGACAAACTTCAAGGAGTCCCCAGCAGTCTGAAATCCACTGCTTTTGAACAAGTTCTGGTTCATGTGTCTAGGTGTTAGTCCAGTCGCTGGTTAAGCCACAGTGTAATAGGGCTGAATCCCGGCTGTGTTTCGTCTGTTGGTATCTGACAAGTTACCTGTCCTATACACCCCCCCCCCATTGCTTTGATCACTACATAATCTGTAGGTCTTTCCTGAAATGTTTTCCTATTTACAAATATTGTGCAGAATTCTGATCACATATTCCCAGGCACCAGCTACCTCTTACTACACAGTTTCATGACAGCCACAGTCAGTCATAGCTCACAGATGAGCAAGGAAACAGCAGGACAGATCCAAACACCGTGTGTTTCAAATAAAAAGTCTGGTGGTGTTTTCCCTCCAAAGAAAAGCCAAAATTAGTTAACTTGCTTGACTACTAAGTATCCTAGAAGCACTGAACTATAAAACGAAAAGTGACAGCAAAGAATCATAAACATTCTGTTTGTTCACTTTGACACTTACCTAATGAATTTAACAGCCAGGCCCAGGTCAGCTATACAGCAAGTTCCATTTTTCTTCACCAGGATGTTTTTGCTCTTTAGATCTCGATGGGCAATTGCCGGTTTGCCTTGAGTACTAAAGATCTCCGTGTGTAAGTGACACAAGCCACTGACGGAAGAATAGGCTAACTTCAACATTGATTTCGTGTCCAGGGTAGTGGACTTCAGATAATCATATAGGGAACCATTTTCATGATAGTCTGTGATTAAGTACAACTGGGTCCAGGACCCAGTCCCTTTGATATCTGCAGCAATGAACCCTAAAAAGAAAAAAGGTTGGAGGTGTTTTCTGAATACTGTCAAGAATAATCCATAGTCTCAACTATCATTCTTTCTCATAGATATCTTTTGTTTATCATTTCATTCCATTTTCTGATTAGCTTATGATGATAAGTTACTAACCGCCCTCTGAGGCCATCAGGATTGTAGAAAGTAGAGAAAGAGTAGGAGTTAATATGTAAAAGCATGATCACTTTCAGATCAGTAATTGGTATTTACCAAACTTCATGGGAGTCCGTTACAGACAAGGCACTGTTTACAAAGTAGGGTCTTCCATTAAGGCACATACTCTACCAATCAGCCTACCCTCCTTCTCCTTGAATAATCCCGAAAGATCATTTCTAACTTGAGAAATTAAAAAGTAAATCCATTCTCAACATAAACTGTTGATCCACACAAACTCTGCAGGAAAATTCCTATGACTTCTCACAACATTTAAACAAAAATATGCTCCTTCAAATCCCAAGGAAATCCAAAGAAATTCTAGGATTACATTTGCATTTCCTGTTTCTGAAGAAAATCTGTTTGTGAGTACTCCCTTTCCAGTCCCCTATTCATTCACGGAAGTGCCTTAGTCATTATTCCTGTGAGGTCTCCCATTAGAAGCAATGACATTCTTGGGCCCGTGCCAAGAAGAAACTGTCTATATATTTCATAGCGGGCCTAGACAGATGAGTTAATATGCAGATGTTAGAGGAAAGCTAGGAAACCCTGAATGTTGCCACACAGACTTGTACTCACCCAGAATGTTTTCATGCCTCATCAACACTGTCTGATATATTTCTGTCTCTCTGAACCAGCTGGCTTCCTCTGTGGTGAAGAACACTTTCACAGCTACCTTTTCGCCACGCCACTTTCCCATCCAAACTTCCCCATAGCGACCTTTTCCAATCTGTTTCACCATCTGAATCTGCTTAGCTATTGTCCTTTGAACCTGTGAAATCCCAAAACATGCTGTTAGTGTATTCACAGCACTACAGATTTGTTTAATCTTTATTTTCTCCAGAGGAGAAACAATTATTGCATGTAAAATATATTTAGACAGTATTTTCCTTTATATAGACAAGTTATTTGTAGTATTCATTAATTTACGCTGTAGTCTTTTGAACATATCTGAGACTGACTGTGGATACTGAATTACTAAATATTTCATTCCAACCATGACCATTTCCATAGAACAACAATCTGAATGAATCCATGGTGCTGGCAGAAGAGAACGCTTTCATTTCCACCACTATCGTGGGATGCCTCGGAAGGGACACTTTCCACTCATCATGCATAAAATATGACAAAACAAAATAGAAATATACTGCTGGGCATAGTCTCCAAACAGGGCAGAGGAGGGAGGGAGGCGTTGAGAACCGAGCAGGGAACAATAAGCATTTATAAGCATTTAACATGTACAGAAGCCAGATTGCTGTCAGGGCCATGACAAGACCAGCACTAAGATGGAGTATCTAAAGACTGACCCCTCTACAACGAGAGGGGCTCAACCTAGGGCTTCGGCACCAGGCTAAAGAAATGGTATACTGGGAGCCAGCAGTTAGCGTAATGGCTATGTCACTGGACTCCCACGTAGTCGACCGCAGTTCGTGTCCCGGACCTAGTGGCTTAGAACTCACGCCAGGCGCGTGTGCGTGCGTGCCCAAGATCCCGAGAGGAGAATGGAGGAGAAGGGATTGTGGCGTGACCATCCCCTCTGGGGGGTGATTTCTCGCTTTCTGTCTCTCTGTCTCTCTCTGTCTGTCTGGTGAGCGCATGCGCCCTATAGCAAAAACCTCTCCAAAGAAAAAAAAAGAAATGGTATATTTACAGACATTACAAGCATTGCTCATGGAAGTCTATGGAACATTTCCTAACATAAACAATTTTACATCTACTTCTTTTCCTATGCTAACATATCTTGTTAAAATTTAATGAAATCACTGACAGAATTGGCAATGCTCTATAAAATAGGAACAACTGATCTCAAGAATAAAAGAGTTGAACCAGCAGTTAGTATAATGGCTATGTTGCTGAACTCCCATGTAGTTGACTGCGGTTTGAGTACTGAACCCAGTGGCTTAAAAACTCATGCCGGGAGCATGTCTGTGCATGCCCAAGATCCCGAGAGGAGAATGGAGGAGAAGGGATTGTGGTGTGGCCATTCCCCCTGGGGGTGATTTCTCCCTTTCTGTCTCTGTCTGTCTGGCGAGCACACACGCCCTATAGCAAAAACCTCTCCAGAAAAAAAAAAAAAAAAAAGAATAAAAGAGTTGCTACATTTTATCCAGAAATTAATATAATTGTATTTTAAGATTATGACACTGAAAGATCTGTAAATGTAACGTGATGATTTTTAAAACTGTGACTCAAGTTTTATGTTTTCTTTTATTGCCACAGGTACATGTGCTCACCAAAGTGTGTGTGTGTGTGTGTGTGTGTGAGAAAGAGAGAGAGAGAGAGAGAGAGACAGAAAGGAACCCCACCCCCCAATGGGGCATGGCCATTTCTCAATCCTTTTTTCCCCCCCATTTCTTAATCCTGTCAGGATTTTGACTGCACACAAATGTGTCCACAGCACTTTCAAGCTACCAGGGCTAGGATTCTAACTGGCCAAGTGGGATTGGCTCTCTATGCCCCATAGTGCTTAACCTCTGTGCTGTGGAGCTAGCCCTGATTTGAGTTTCTATCTGATTTACAAATGTCTCTCCTTCTGTCCCTAAACTTTCATCCTATATTACATGTTCTTTTCTATATTACATTTTTAGATACCATTTTTTGAAAGTTTGATTGTACAGAATAAAATGTCTACAAGAGCAGGACCAGCAGTTGGCATAATGGCTATGTGACTGGACTCCCATGTAGTTGACCATGGCTCAAGTCCTGGACCCAGGGGGGGATGGCCATGCCATAGTCCCTTCTCCTCCATTCTCCTCTCGGGATCTTGGGCATGCACGCACATGCGCCCAGCATGAGTTTAAGCCACCGGGTCCAAGACTCAAACCACGGTCGACTGCATGGGAATCCAGCAACATAGCCATTACACCAACTGCTGGTCCTATTGTCTTTTTTTTTTTTTTTTTTTTTTAGAATTTCTAAAATTTCACTTATCATCATCATCATTATTTGTTTAATTTGACCAGAAAGAGAAGGAGAATGGGAAAGTAGGAAGTAGAAAGGAAGTAGAAAGGAAGCCTCCAGGTCCAGGACTTGAGCCATGGTCAGCCATGTGAGAGTTCAGTGCCTCAATCACCATGCCTCCTGCTGACTCCCTTTTATAAAATAGTTATTTCATTTCATTTATCATCATCATGATTTGTTTAGTGATTGTCTTTCTTTTTTTCTTTTTTCTTTGGAGAGGTTTCTTTGCTATAGGGTGCATGTGCTCGCCAGAGAGACAGAGAGAGACAGAGAGACAGAAAGCGAGAAATCACTCTCCAGGGGGGATGGCCATGCCACAATCCCTTCTCCTCC